TAGATGAAAAAACCAGGTATGCGGAGGAAAAACCCCATACTCGATCGAGTTAGGGCTGAAAACAAGGTCAGCACCCGATCGAGTAACCCTATGACCCGACCGGGTAAAAATAAAAAAATTGGGAATTTTCTTCGTCACGTTTTACCCGATCGAGTTAGGGCTGAAAACAAGTTAAGTACCTGATCGGGTGGACCTATGACCCGATCGGGTATAAATGAAAAAAATGTGAATTTTTCTTCGTCACGTTTTACCTGATCGAGTACCCCTAAAAACTCGATCGGGTACGAACCCCTGGAGCAAAAAAAAATTTAACGAAGTACCCGATCGGGTACTCTCATATACCCGGTCGGGTAAATTAATGTTTTAAGTTGGAATTTACACGACGCAATTTGCCCGATCGAGTATAACCCAAACTCGATCGGGCCCGATCCTGAAACATGATAAAACAAGAGGGTACCCGATCGGGTATGTCGGGCCACCCGATCGGGTACACCAACTTTTAACCCAAATCAGACCCAAAAATCGGCCACTTCATCTTCTCCAACCCCAAAAATTCGAACCTCTCTTCCCAAATCCACCATTTTCGAACCTTCTCCCTTCCATATCTCCATCAATACTCAACAAAAACCCATCAAACCACCACCAAAACACTCCACTCACTCTCCTCTACAACCCACTACCCATAAAATCCACCCTCTCCCCATATTTCCGAAACGCCCAAACCCTACCCTCAAAACCCCAAGTCCGAATCTAAGCTCCAAATTTGGTCATCAATGGCTCCAAAAAGAAACCAACCGGAAAGCTCCAACACACGGGGACCAGTTCATGGCTTTGAGGATGTCCGCTTTGGGACGGGAAATCATCGGGCACGATTTTTGGCCATCATTAAAAGGCAAGTAGTTCCTTCTCGATTTCTTTGTCATGATGCCCTTGAGAAACTAGGCCTAGAGGATGGCATGAGGGAATTATTTGATGTATTGCAAATGAATTTGATTTTCAATATGCGATACAATTGTGTTGACAAAATCATATATGAGGTCATGAGCTCCATGAAATTTGTTCTACAAGAGGATCCGGCGGATTTCAATTCCGATGAACTCACGTTTCGTGTGCGCAACACCGAATACTCAATAACGAGACGTGAGTTTGCCGCACACTTTGGAATTCCAGTGGCCCATGAGAGGGGGATACCGGAGAGCACGCTTGATGCTCATACTCTATGGTCAAAAATGACCGGAGAAGTGAAAGTTAACGCGTCTAAACTCTCAATTAGTCACGTTCAACATCCCCTTCTCCGGATTTTCCTAAAGTTCTTGTGTAATTCTTTGCTCGGCCGCCCCAACAATCACCATACTCGGATGGGGGACGTGGCCGTACTCACTCTAGCCATTTTTCAGAGACCTACGACATATAACCTTTGTAATCTAATGTGGGATCATTTAGAGGAAGCTTGTAAGAAAACAGGGAACATTGTGGTTGGGGGTAATCATGCACTTGGTGTCCAAATTCGGCTATACGGACAATGCTCCAATTCACGCTGATACATTGATGCACATTGGTTGGTTATCCAATGCGGGATTAATCTCTTTGGGAAACAAGGACCACAATGGCACCCAACATTACAAATGGCACATGAAGTACCCCAAACCCATCAAATACTTTCCCCTCCCTTGCGACGAACTACCTAAACTTAGGTATAAACTGGCAAGCTTCGAAATCACCCACTATTTGCTTCCTAATGCCATTCCACCACACCTTCAAGCCCAACCGAACTAACTCGACCAAGCCGAGCACCAAGAGGAACATGAATATGCCCAACACCACATCCCCGACCCCCCTCAAAACCCACCACCGCAAGACTATTTCCAACAACTATTGGAGGGCCAACAAGCACTACTTGCCGGGTTCAACACCATGAACCTCAACTACACGAACATGGGTGAACAACTTGCACAAGTCCGAGAGGAGCAACGGGCGGGTTTCCAAAGAATGGAGGAGCTACGACAAGCCGACCTCCACCGCTATGAAGAGGACTATCGTAGGGCTTATGGTCCTATGTACTCATATATAGGCATGATGCGATCCTTGAGGCAGCTGGGGTGTACAAGGGTCGGCTTCCGTGCCTCGGGGCTGAGGGGCAACGTATTTTGTACGATCACAACGGCAGTGGAGCTTCATCATTTTCTCGATCAAGGCGGGGAGAGGATCCACGCATCGCCCAATTGCAGCGAGAATTGGAGGAGCAACAGCGGGCATTCGAACAACAACGGAAGAATGATGAAGAAACAAGGGCCCGGCTGGAAGCAATTGTCGGATATCAGCCTCCGTCTCAGCCTCTTCCTTGGCCGTACATGTTTCACATTGAACAGACTCCTCAGGTTCCGCAGATGGGTCATATGGGTTATCATTCTAACACCGGATATGGTACCATTCCTGCAATCGGGTCGACATTCGGATCTCTGTCATCTGATTTTCTTGATCAATTTCAGTCATCCGGTGGAGGCAGCCAAGGAGGCAGACGAGGAAACAACAGAGGAAGCAACCGAGGAGGCAGCCGTGGCAGCCGAGGAGGTACCCGACCCTTAGACACCTGTCATTCATGTAATTTTCATGCTTACGTTTATGTTTTTTATTAGTTTAGATCGATTATTACCTTGGAAATTACACACTTTTGGTGTAATAGTTTTATTTGTAAAAATGTTTGTAATTTGTTTAGATTAAGTTTATACTGAGCTCAAACAGGTCCATGATCACTCTAGGGACCATTGGTGAACATCACAAATGGAAAGAAGGTGCAAAAAAATCTCTAGATGAAGTGAAGATTGATTTTTTGGTGTTGTACCCGGTCGGGTATGACCTATACCCGATCGGGTACCTTGTTGAAAAATCAAATCGGATCGGATCCGGGACAAGGCAACGTGCAGGGGAGATTTTGGCACGATCGACTGTTCATACCCGATCGGGTGGCCGACATACCCGATCGGGTATAACCTAGTTTTTTATATTTCCTCGAACCAACCAAGTACCCGATCGAGTGCCCTTACAGCCCGATCGGGTACACGACCCTGCAAGCCTAAAAAGCCTATAAATACCCCCCTTCCCTTCCCACAAAAAGCACCAATTCCTTTATACTTCTAAGCTCAGTCTAGAATAGTTCTTTCTTTATATTTTCATCATGTTTAGTCTCCAAATGAGGAGCTAAACTCTTCCATCTTGGTTTTGCTACTTTGAAGCTTAATGAATTTGTAAGTTGTGAGTTATTTTCTTTAATCTTCTTCCTTGAATATTAATTATTTCCTATTCATATTCCATATTAATATTTTGAGCATTACTTAAAGGATCAACTAGTTTTGTTTCATATATTAATTATTACTAGAATCAATCGATTAATACGCTTGTTATTAATTCGGTTCTTTCAACGGTAGTAAAATTTGGATTATTAATGCATGCGTCTCATGGTTAATAATCTAAGGGGAATTAATTATATTGATTAAACCAATAAACCGCTTGTGTTGAGGTTATCAATCTCAATCGTTTTCATCTTAAGTTTATTGCTACTATCGGGCTAATATACGACGCTTGTTCTATATTAACTCGGTAGTAAGTTTTATTAATGAACGCGTCTCGTTATTAATAACTACCCTCGATGAACTGGATATACTCCTCGATTGAGTATTCGAGAGGAAGATAGTTAAAGATATAACCGGGATCGACGAACATTTCATTAAGTGGATAAAAGCAAAACCAAGTCCTCATCTCTATAAATTAAACTCATATAAGTCGTTTATCTTAGTGTTAATTAAATTCAATCAAATCAAACTTAAAACCCCCTTGTTACTATTTATATAAAAGAAAAGTATTCCTTTCCCTGTGGGGATACGAACCTTACTTCACTATACTACGTATTAGTGTTGTATTGATTAATTATTTTGAGTGCACCTCACGACAAGTGCACGTCAACACCGTGGATGCTGAAGAGGATCATCATCGTGATTATGATCATAATGATGATGCATATGATTATGATGATCCTAATTTTTATCATAATGGAGTCCGACGTGCGGGCATGTAATAATACATTTTTTAAGTTTAACATTTCATATTAGTTTTATAATTCAGTCTGTAATAACATTTTTTATGTTTAACATTGTATGGATTTTGTTTTTCATTTAATGTTCTAATTGCTTTAAAGTAAAATTAAAACAAATTTCATTTTTTTTTTAAAATGGATTTTTTTTTGAAAAACCAAAAATTTTAGTCACGGACTAAATCCGTGACTATTTTTTTGGTCCGGAACTCTTTTCTAAATTCAATTTTTTTTTTAAAAAAAACATAGTCACGGATACATGTCCGTGACTAAAACAAATTTTGAAAATCTAAATCGCGGACTTTTAAAAATTCAAAAATTTCAAAACTTAGTCACGGATTAGTCCGTGACTAAAATGGCCGAATTTTAAAAACAAAAAAAATCTTAGTCACGGATCTGTCCGTGACTAAAATAAAAAATAAATAAATTAAAGGTAGTCACGAATTTTTTACACTGCGGTACGTGACTAAGTTCGTGATTAGTCACTACTCCAAGTTCCATCCAACTTCACCATAATTACAACAACAGATTCCAGGTGTTAACTAGGGACAAAAAAAAAGTTAACACAACATACACAGAAAAATGCCACAAATCAATGAGTATATATGCCAAGTTTATGGCATTCATATTTATTTTTGCCACATATACAAAAATTTGATTGTGACTGAGAGAATTGAATTTGGAGAATAATGAAAAATATATTTAAAATATATGTACGCATAAAATAAAAAAAAGTCATATACAAAAATAAATTATGTTCTTTAATAAATTCAGTTAGAAAGTATCTCCAACATGACTTTTTTTTTATATTTAATCCGGTTGATGAAATTAAAAATTTAATTTTGAATAAAAATTGACCGATAAAATTGGAAAAGAAGGTTATCAAAAGGACTAGCTCAAACTAAAGATATAAATTTAGTTATCATTTATTTGGAATAATTAAAAGCAATACTACTCTTATATATATTCCGAAGTGGTAAAGCAAGCGGAGGCACGGGCACCGCCTGATCAATAATATGGACGGCAGAAGCTTGGTTGTAATTCTTCTCTCGGCGATACTTCTTCTCGTTATGGTATTTGTTACACGACTCCCGTCGACGCTGCGAAACACCACCGGCCTACTGGACTGCTCCCCATGGTGCACTTCATCCGACTTAAAGGACTCCACGCGCCTCCTCCACGTTCCCGGCGACGACGCCCCGCGCCACCCGCTCGACCCGCTGACGGTCCGGGAGCTGAACAGAGTTCGCGAGGTTGTGAAATCGTACGGCCCCTTCAAGAACAGCCCCTACGCTCTCCACTATGTTACTCTGGGAGAGCCCGAGAAGCAGGTCGTCCTGGGCTGGAAAACAGGCCACCCTCTGCCGCCTCGGCAGGCGTCGGTGCTCGCCCGTGCCGCTGGGAAGTCCTACGACCTCACCGTCGATCTCGTCACCGGCGATGTGACCACTCGCGAAACGGGACGTCATTTCGGGTCCCCCATGTTGACCATGGAGGATATGACGGCTGCTGCCGTGGCACCGTTGGGCAGCGCCGAGTTTAATCGTACGATCACGCAACGTGGCGTCGATCTGGCCGATCTTGCGTGTTTGCCTCTCTCTTCAGGGTGGTTCGGTAAATGCATTATTTTTCTCCGCAATATATACTTCCTCCATCCTGTTGGAAGATTCCTCCTTTCTTTTTTTGGATGTCCCGGTGGAAAGTTCTCATTTTCCTAAATGGAAAGTTATCCTACATCAAAACAGGGTTAAATAGTGCAAAACAGTGTCGAAATAGTGTCTAAACAGTGTCAAAACAGTAAAATTTTCCCTTATTTCCTTAATATGTGTAGGTCAAATCGGGAACATTACAACGGGACGGCGGGAGTATATATATACTGTAAAAATTTAAAACAACCGAAACTTTCCTTTTCAGTTTTAACAATATATTAGAATGATGATGTTGATTATGTTAGAACGCAAAATTGAAGAGAAGAGGAGAGTGATGAAGATACAGTGCTACAGCAAGAAGGGAACTGCGAATTTCTACATGAGACCCATCGAGGGATTGACGGTGGTGATCGATTTAGACACGAAAGAGGTGATTGATATATCAGATGAAGGGAAGAGCATCCCGATTCCCAAGGCCGCCAGCACAGAGTATCGCTACTCGGCACTACCGAGGAGCAGCAGCTGGTCTCCCAACCCGATTTCCACGGAGCAACCGACGGGTCCGAGTTTCACCGTGGACGGGCATTTGGTGAGGTGGGCGAATTGGGAGTTTCACCTGAAACCCGATTCCCGAGCGGGTGTGATCATATCCCGGGCCATGGTCCGTGACTCGGAGACCGGGGAAATGAGGAGCGTCTTGTACAAAGGATTCGCTTCCGAGTTGTTCGTTCCCTATATGGATCCAACTGACGCCTGGTACTTCAAGACATACATGGATGCTGGGGAATACGGGTTCGGCCTCCAGGCCATGCCACTTGACCCGTTGAATGATTGCCCCAGGAATGCCCATTACATGGATGCCGTCTTTAACGCCGCCGACGGAACGCCCTACGTCAGATCCAATATGATATGTGTCTTCGAAAGCTACGCCGGCGATATTGCGTGGCGACACTCCGAGTGCCCCATCACTGGCATGGACGTACGTAATCATCTACCTACACTTAGGCATTGCACCCGGGTCAGTCCGTCCCGGTTAGTTTCTTATACCAGCTCGGTCCAGTCTCCGGTCCGTTAGTTTTTTGCTTTGCCCACTTCAAAATACAGTACTAAAGAGGATGGCCCCGTTCCAACCGTTCCTATGCTGAAACATAAAAAAAAAAATCACTCTTCAGGACCGAAACTAGGAAAGGAACCACTCCATTCGGTCCCGAATAATAGAACCTAGGCTCCAGTACCCTATACACCCGCTCGGGTACTCAGTCTTCGTCCAGAATCAGAAAAACAGACTCGACCCGGTTCCAAACAGTACTTGATTCATATTTGGACCGGGTCTGATCGCCGGACCGGGACCATGCCTAGCTACACCCACTCCTTTTTTAATTATTTGAATAATACTCTTAACATGTTTGAGAACCCGAGAACCCGTTTGGTTATCTCTATCTTGAGCTTATCCACCTAATTTTAGTTAACTGTTTTCCAAACATGTAATTTTGGTACTTCAAGCTAAATTGTGCGTTAATAAAAATAAGTAAAGTTGAAGTTATATTTTTGGTCGAATTTACTATAAAGGAAAGTTTTGGCTATTTTTTCATGTAATTTTTCTTAAATATTATAAAATCTATTTTAAATATACACTTTTCATAATTTAGCATATTCAACCACTTCTGTTAAAAATTCAAAAATCTCAGTAGATTGAACCGTTTTAGTGTAATCAATCAGGCCCTGAAATTGACCGTTCATATGGTACTTCTCATTCTCAACTTATCAGCCTTGGCATCTTTTTTTATCACACGTAACTTTTGATTTTGAATGTTGAGTTGTGCTATAATCAAAATAAGTAATCTTTGAGTTACATTTCGTTACATTTCCGACTAAATTGACTAAAAAGAAGACCATTTTAAATATTTTATATATACTCCCTCCATCCCTTATAACTTTGTCAACTTTCCTTTTTTGGATGTCCCACTAATTTTGCCACTTTCCCAGTTCCCTTTTAAGTAAAGAATTTGTGGTTCCAATTCATTCTCTCCCCTCTACACAAACCTCAACCACACAAATTTTATTTTGTTATTCCTCGTGCCGGTCAAACTTGATAAAGTTATTAGGGACGAGGGAGTACTTTTTTCCTTATGTTATTTATAACGAATATTTTAAATATAACTTTTTATAATTCAGTACATTCAGCTTGAATCTGAATTTTAATAATTATTTTATGCATATTTAAATGATTTATGTGGCCAAATGGGCCCAAATCAGTTAAATCTGAGCAGTCGAATGATGAAAAATTATACTCCCTTCGTCCCATTGGATTTTGTCAATTTTCTTTTTTTGGTTGTCACAAAAAACTTTGTCACTTTCCTATTAAAGCAAAAGCAACTAATTTGTGGTTTCGCACATTTCTCTCTCCTTTGCACAAATCTCAACCACGCAGTTTTTACTATTCTTATTTCTCACCTACTTTACACTTGACAAAGTCCACCGGGACGGAGGTAGTACTTGAAATACGGAGTATGTTATATATATATGTGTGCATGTGTGAACAATAGTTAAAATGATCATCTATAAAAAATTCTTATTCTTCTAATTCAATAAGAAAAATAACCCCAATTTTATTAAAAAAGAAGAAGGAAGAACTTAGGAATTTTAATTCATTGAAATTTTGTGGCAGATTAGAGAGGTACGGCCGAAGGTGACGTTAGTGGTGCGGATGGTTGCATCCGTGGCCAATTATGATTACATAGTGGACTGGGTGTTCCAAAGTGACGGGCTAATCAGAGTTAAGGTTAGTGCTCTAACTAATTAAAGCAACCTACTATACATAACTCTGTTATTTTGTGCTGATTGAATTCCTCGTGGTTACTGATTAAATAACGACGTCACAAAGGTTTTTTGTTTTGGGTCACTTATTTGGATTTAATTATATACACTAATCCATTAATCTCTTTACCCCATTTGACTTTGTCAATATCCGTGTTTTATATCTCCAACAATTCATTCGGTGACTCTATTTTTCACCAATTTTTTAACTAAACACGTAACTTCTGATTTCGCGCGATCAATTGTGTAATACGGAGTAATAAGAAAAAGTAAGATTGAAGTTATTTTTCTGGCTGAATTGGCTGAAGTTACTATAGATGACCATTTTAGCTAATTTTTCATTTATTTATTTATTTATTTTATTAATAAAATATATTTTAAATATAATTTTTTCATAAATCAACAGAATCAGTCAATACACACATATTTCAGCCAAAACTTCATAAATTTCAGCTGAATCAACGATTCAACCGATTTCAGTGTTACCAAACAGGATTCTAATTTTTATATCATTTTTCTTTTAAAGTAATGAAATTGTAGTTCACTTATTTTACACTTAGGATGTTTTTACTTGGACTGTAATTCGTCCCAGACCAGATCAGACTAGACCAGTTCAGACCAGACCAGACCAGACTTGGATAGTTATAAAAATACAAAGAAACCAGATCAGACCAGTTCAGACCAGGCCAGATCAGACCAGATCAGACCAGACCAGACCAGCAAATTACGGTCCAAGTAAAAACATCCTTAACATAAAGTCGAATGTCAAGTGGGATGAAGATGATGTGCATGTTTGGAAAATGTTGTTTCAACCAAAGAATGATGATTTGACCTTTTTAGCATTTTCAATTGGGGAAACACGGATCGATTTTGTTTGATAAGTAACTATTCGGCTCTAGCGCTTTTGGATGTAACCGCTGAAATAGGGCATTATATACTAATGCTAGAGTGAAATATCTAAATTATTATCAAACATTTTTTTGAAACTCATCAACTCATTATGCTAATCAAATCCGTTGAATAAGGGAAATTTGCAATTTTCGTCCCATAATTTTTGACCGTTTTCACTAATAGTCACATAACTTTAGTCACTTGCAAAATTAGTCCTATAACTAATTAATATTAGCAATTTAAGGACTTTTCACCTGAAAAATACACTTTCCGACTATAGTAAAACGGAAAATATGTCACCGGCGTCAAATTTTTATGTCAAAAAGTGTACTTTCTGGTGGAATAGTCCTTAAATTGGAAAGATTTAATAGTTATATGACCAAATTTGCAAGCGATTAAAATTACAAGACCAATAACGATAGCAGGCGAAATTTACAGGACTAAAATTGCAAATCTCCCATTGAATAATTCGCTATCAATAATCCGTTAACATAATTTACTAATCCCAAGACACTAATTGTCAAGCGTGCCCAATATATGTTATAAAAAATTATTTATGCATATACACCCACCATGGCCAGCTCTGACATTTCAAGGGCCTTATTCAAAATTCAATATGAGGCCCTAAAGTATAAAGCACAATATTAAGATTTTCATCATTTTTAAATAATAGTCTTCTTAGGTTTTTGTGGTTTTTAAGAAGAAAATAGTAGGAGTACTATAGAGGTGTAAGGTAAATGAAAAAATAGGAAAAAGAATATATTTAAAAGAGTAATATACAAATAAAATATGAAAGAGTAAGTAGTATGTAAGCTCCTACCAAATTTTACGAGAACTTTGTGCTAATTACTGTAACTACGTCTTATGTAATAAAGAGATTGCACAATTGTAATTAACAATTGCATGTTAACTACATATAAATATTAATATTTAATGTTTGTTTTAAAAGAATACTAAGATAGGAATCTTTGTTCAAATAAATAAGGATTTTGTATATTATGTAGACTATATTTAAAATTTTAGGCCTTCTCAATCGAGAGGCCTTGTGCGGTAGCACTTTTTGCACGCCCTCATCCACGGCCCTGACACCCACCTTAAACATTTTTATGGGAAGTCTCTTCTATTAAATTCATGATTTATTTGTGATATACTATATATGTTCCTTTTAGTTGCAATATTGGTGCATTTGCCCTATTTACATACTATATTTTGACTAATTTTGTTTATTAATGTACCCCCTTCATCTCTTAAAACTTTGTCATCTTTCTTTTTTGGGACGTTCAAAAAAACTTTGTCACTTTCCTTTTTAATCAATAATTTTGTGGTTTCTGTTATTTCTTTCTCCCCTGCACAAATCTCAACCATACAGTTTTTACTTTATTATTCTCCGTGTCGGTCAAATTTGGCAAAGTTTTAAAGGACAGAGGTAGTATCATACATAAAATTTTGAAAGAATGGAAGATATTAATGACCTAACTTATCCGTTGGCAAACATGAAAAGTGATCTGTTGTATGTTGTAACTAAAAAAGAACGGATAAGTATAATCGTTGTAGTTTAGAAAAAAATTGATATACAAGACAATTAGTGATAGTAAAGAAAAAGTAGAGCTAATTAATAGAGATAGAAAGTCATATGTAATACTTCGTACATAGTACTACCTCCGTCCCGCTATGATTGTTCCATTTTACTTTATCCGTCCGTCCCACTAAGATTGTCCCATACCAAATTAGGTAAAGTTTGTGTGGCTCTAAATCATTCTTACTTTATTATTACTTTATCGATTCAATATCAACCACATAAATCATTTTTTATTAATTTGCGTGTCACTCTCTTTTGTCCTATTGTTAGCAGGACGGAGTGAGTATGTGTTATTTCTAACTCTTAGAACAACTAAAAGTGACAGAAAAAAAGTTATTTGTACACAAATTATTGTTGCACACACTTTAACAAGAGTTTTTTGTCTAAACTTTTCAAATACCCGTCAAAAATGTATACAACAAGTGTTTTGTGTACAACAAAAATGGTTGAAAGTGAACTTGTTTATAGCATTAATAAATGTGAAATGCATTAAATTTTATTGCACGTGTGTGCTTATGGAAAAGGCATGTGGTATTTTTCATGTTGGCGGGGGTAGGATATGATGAGAAGAATTAAAAATAGAGATTATTTAGCGATTAAAAAAGAGAGAATTCCCCAAATAGGAGTATCATGTTTTGAATAGGAATAACTTTAGTGTTAGGACAAGTATACCTCTACCCAAGCCCCACCAACTTTTAATTAAATGTTTAATTCATAATAAATTCAAAAAAAATCAATAAATCGTAGAAAAATAATTAAAAAATTTATAAAATATTAATAAAGTAAAAAATTTAAAAACATTTTTTTAAATTTTTTATTTTAAAAAAAAAAAAATAAAAAATAGTAAAACTCCATAAAAAAAATTAAAAAAATATGGATGCCTTTGCCACCGCTTGTACTACCTCCCTGCACCACCACCTCCTGGTGGTGAAAAAAATTCAATTTTTCCTAAAAACTGCCTTTTTTTTTTGAAAATGCCAAAAACATGACATATTTCTCTTTGCGAATGCCAAAATTTTCATTGTTTTCTGCCATAAATATGGCATTCGTAATGAACTTGACATTTTTTCCCTGGTGACTGGACGTGGTGGTGCTAAGGCGGCAGAGACGGCGGTGAATTTTATTTTATTTTTTTTGAGTTTTGTATTGTTTTTTTTTTAAATTTATATTTTTTTTTGTTTTTTGAAAAATAAATAAATAAGTGAATTATTATTATCGAATAAGTCATAAATTAACTAGGTTAGGATTAAATAAGTCATATTTTATAATTTACTAGGTTAGGGATATTAAAGATATAAAATTAATGTTTACTCCTATTGAAGAAAGTTTTAAGTTTTACTCCTATTTGTGCAATTATATTTATATTTACTCCTATATTGGGCAATTTCTAATTTAAAAAAAAGTGAAAAAATCTGTTGAGACAGAGAAGCAGTACTTTGTTGCTCATTGTGTGAGGCGAAATATCTTGCTGAGAATGTATTTGTGAATTATGATCCATCGACTACTAGACAAAATACTACCGTACATTTGTGTGAACGGTCCGATGTTTTGGACGGGCTAGAAAAGTATTGCACATGGTCACTGTCGCCTCCCCTTGAAAGTTCAAACTCCATTTTATTTTAGAACTTGTTTGATTATTTGTTTTTGACTTATCACAGTAAACTCTTTCAACAAATACTATAAAAAGAATTAAGGATTGATAGAGTTTTTTGGCAAGAATATCCCAAAATTGGCAAGGATTTTGCAGTGATATGCCAAATTCGTGCAAAAAATAGTTTGGCATGAGCTATGTGGCATGCAATCATTGGCAAATCCGTGCCAAATTCATTTCTATCCCGTGTTTTTATCTCGTGCGCTCGATTGTTTAATAATAAGAAAAAGTAAGTCGAAATTATTTTTCTGGCTGTATTGTTTGAAGTTACTGTATATGATCAATTTAACTATTTTTCATATATTTTTTATTTATTTTATTAATAAAATATATTTTAAATATAATTTTTTCAAAAATCAGCAGAATTAGTCAATATAGACATTTCATCCAGAAATTTATAAATTTCAGTAGAATCAAACAATACAACCAATTTTAATATTGCTCTTATTTTGAACTCTTTTTTCTTTTTTTCCCGTGATGATAAGGTCGACTGTGACACCAATTATATCGTCCTGCGCACTACCCGTCTACATTTGATGATTGAATGTCGAATAATATCCATGGTGGTGCTCAAACTAGAAGGGTCCAATATTTTTAACAACCATGCTTGATGTACACACTTTTGTACACATCTTATACACACCATGTTGTGAAGCTTTTTCTTTTTGTCTGTGAATTGGTGTTCACAGACAAAAAAAACTTTCACAGACATAGGTGTGTACAAAATTGTGTATAAGAATGTGTACAAACATCATTTTTGTATTTTTAAAAGCATATACGAAGTATATACGTATATACGACCGGGCTGGACATGGGTGGTCCGGTCACCTCATTTTGAGGTGCTTTCTGATGGTATTTTTTTTTTTCAATTTTTTGAGCACGTTTGTAATGAAATCTAGATGATCTTCATCAAATTTAAAAAAAATCATTCGAGAAGACAGTCAAATGATTTTTGAAAGATAATTGCACTAAAATATACATATAAAACGCGATTATCTTCTAAAAATCATTTTACTGTCTTCCGGATTAAAATTTTTGCTCAACTTTGGTGGAGATCATCTACATTTCATGGGGAACAAACTCAAAACATTTGAGAAAAAATACCATTGGGAACCACCTCAAATTGAGGTGGCCGGACCACCCTCCTGTTCAGCCTGATCGGACCAAAATATTTGTGTGTATACGTATACATATATTTTATGAACATACGTATACAACTAAAATGGTGTATTTATTATGTTTTGTGTACAACAAAAATGGTTGAAAGTGAACTTGTTTATTATTATTATTGTTATTGTTATTGTTATTGTTATTATTGGTATTGTTATTGTTATTATTGGTATTGTTATTGTTATTGTTATTGTTATTGTTATTGTTATTGTTATTGTTATTGTTATTGTTATTGTTATTGTTATTGTTATTGTTATTGTTATTGTTATTGTTATTGTTATTGTTATTGTTATTGTTATTGTTATTGTTATTGTTATTGTTATTGTTATTGTTATTGTTATTGTTATTGATCCTGATCCTGATCCTGATCCTGATCCTGATCCTGATCCTGTTCCCGTCCCCGTCCCCGTCCCCGTCCCCGTCCCCGTCCCCGTCATTGTCATTGTCATTGTCATTGTCATTGTCATTGTCATTGTCATTGTCATTGTCATTGTCATTGTCATTGTCATTTCATTGTCATTGTCATTGTCATTGTCATTGTCATTGTCATTGTCATTGTCATTGTCATTGTCATTGTCATTGTCATTGTCATTGTCATTGTCATTGTCATTGTCATTGTCATTGTCATTGTCATTGTCATTGTCATTGTCATTGTCATTGTCATTGTCATTGTCATTGTCATTGTCATTGTCATTGTCATTGTCATTGTCATTGTCATTGTCATTGTCATTGTCATTGTCATTGTCATTGTCATTGTCATTGTCATTATCATTATCATTATCATTATCATTATCATTATCATTATCATTATCATTATCATTATCATTATCATTATCATTATCATTATCATTATCATTATCATTATCATTATCATTATCATTATCATTATCATTATCATTATCATTATCATTATCATTATCATTATCATTATCATTATCATTATCATTATCATTATCATTATCATTATCATTATCATTATCATTATCATTATCATTATCATTATCATTATCATTATCATTATCATTATCATTATCATTATCATTATCATTATCATTATCATTATCATTATCATTATCATTATCATTATCATTATCATTATCATTATCATTATCATTATCAAATGAATCACTAATATAATCAAAATTAAAATTGACATTGAAATGCTAAACGAAGTGTTTTTAAATAATTTATATAACCGTGTTCCCGATTTAAATTTTAAGTTGAAATTTAATGGAAATAAACTAAACTTGAGAACGAATATGTTCAAAAAAATTTATCAAACATTTCCACCGGTAAGGGTCCTAACCACCTATAAAGAGCACACTTTTTCTTCTCTAAAAATCATCCCTTCTTCCATACTCTTAAGCTCAGTTCAGAATAACATTTCTTTATATTTTTCTAGCTATGTTTAGTCTCCAAATGAGGAACTAAACATCCAATTCTTGGTGTTGCTCTTGAAGCTTGTTGATTAAAGTATTAAAGTTGTGAGTTATTTTCTTAACTTCTTTCCTTAAATATTAATTAATAGTTCTTTCCTTAATACTAACTCTATATTAATGTTGGGGAGTGTTGCTAAGATGACAATTAGTTAACATCTCGACATTAGTTAGAATAGTATTTTCTTCCTCTATATTAATGTTGGGGAGTGTTGCTAAGATGACAATTAGTTAACATCTTGATATTAATTATAGTAGGATTCATCTCCTTTAATAATATTCTTCCTTGAATATTAATTAATTCCTATTCATATATCATATTAATATTTTGAACATTACTTAAAGGATCAACTAGTTTTGTTATATATATTAGTTATTACTAGAAACGATCGACGAACCAATGGTTAATCGTTGATGGTTTCACAAATAAGTAACTTCGGTTTATTAATGCACGGTCGTGGTTGATAAACTTAAAAGGGATTAATTTTGTTGGTTAAACTGAAACCGTTGTGTTGAGGTTATCAATCTCAATTGATTTCATCAAGAAGTTAAAAGATTAAAAGCTACTATCAAATTGGTATATGTCGGTGTTCTATACTTGACTAATAGTACGAGTTATTAATGAACGGTCGTTGTTAATAACTACCCTCGATGAATTAGATATACGCTTCGATTGATTATTCGAGAGGAAATAAGTTATAGATATAACAATGATCGACTAAAATATATCAACAAGTGGAAAGTAGCAATGCCAAGTCCTTTTTATCTTTGAATTAAATCTCACACAAGTTGTTCATCTTAGTTTTTAAAGTAAATCATTCAATCCCAAAACTCCCCTTTTATTTACTAGTTTCATAAAAAGAGAATTATTCCTTTCCCTGTGGATACGAACTCTACTACGCTATACTACGTATAAGTGTTAGTATTGAAAATTATTTTGACGCACCGTGACAAAGTGCCCGTCAGAGGTGCCAACCCCACACCCGGTATCTCAATGGTCATTTAGTCATATAGCAACCCAATCTGTAGTGACTTTGCTGACGTGACGCATACGTGGAAGCTCAACCAACGGGTGACCAACTGATATGGCAGACAACTTGCTAATTGATTCAATTGAACGATTTTTCAACGCTTAAAGATTTGAATTGATTTTTATTAGAGTATAAAGTATGAGAAGTTAATTGACGTTTTTGTGATAGTAGGAGAATAAAATTGAGAGTTTTCTTCATTTATTTATAATAATGATTATATATATATGTATATAGGTTGGGCTGAGTGGCATAGTGATGGTTAAAGGCACACCATATGTGAACATGAACCAAGTGAAGCAGGAAGAGTACCTCTATGGCACCCTGTTGTCAGAGAACGTAATCGGAGTCATCCACGATCACTATGTAACATTCTACTTAGATATGGACATCATGGATGGGTCGAACAACTCATTCGTAAAAGTAAACCTAAAAAAAGAACGCACGTCCCCGGGTGATTCACCACGCAGAAGCTATATAAAAGCAGTGCGGAACGTAGCGAAGACAGAAAAAGATGCACAGATCAAGTTGAACCTGCATGCGCCATCAGAGTTCCATGTGATTAACCCGAACAACAGGACCCGCGTCGGGAACCCCGTCGGGTACAAGATTGTCCCTGCAGGGACTGCCGCTAGTCTTCTTGATCACGATGATCCGCCGCAGATGAGAGGCGCGTTCACGAATAACCAAATATGGGTCACTCCTTATAACCAGAGTGAGCAGTTTGCGGGTGGGGTGTATGTTTACCAGAGCCACGGTGATGATACCCTTGCAGTATGGTCTGAAAGGTAAGAAGCTAGCATGCACTTTTTATGAGTATGTAACTTTTATTAATTAATTTGCTGCAGAATGTAATATATACACATACATACATAGTGGTGTGGTATACATTAGTGGTGTGGTATACATTAGGATTCCATCATGTCCCATGCCAGGAGGACTTCCCAATCATGCCGACCGTAACATCAAGCTTTGATCTAAAACCAGTGAATTTCTTCGAGAGCAATCCAATCCTGGGCTTCCCGCCAAATCAGGAGAAGGACTTGCCGGTATGCAAGGCTGCTGCTTGATGAAGCTCTCTTGGTACGTACGTAGTGCATGTAAATGGCTCCAAGTTCATCTATCTATCATTTGCGCTCTAGGTTCTTTTCATTATTGTTAAATAAAGCTTCAGAATATATTGAAATCCCTGTAACTCATCAAGTGAATTGTTTATGTCAAACATATCCATCAAGTAGCTTAATTGTCATATATACTCCGATCCGCTTGTCACAAGATAAACTTCTCCATACAAAAACTGAGGGGTGTTCATATACATTTCAAAATTCAATACAAAAATACATGTTAAGAATTTATGTATGTAATACGTACGTAGTAAAATATTTTTGAACACCCAAAATTCTCTAGCAAAATCCGCTACCCCGGCCTGTAAACCAAGCATAGTGAGAGGGTCAATCAAGTTCCGCAGTATGAGAATTCAATTTATTTCCCGTCTTAGAAAATCCCGGCCTACTCTGATCATCCTTTATAAGCCGCTCAACTCATCATCATCATCATCATCATCATCAGTTGTCTACCTCCAAGCACGGGATTGGCTTGTTGTCAGGTAGTTTGAAATGAATTATTTTCAATGTTTTAAAAAGTGCTATGCGCTGCTCGGGCGCCAGCCCAACGCCTCGGCCAGAGCCTAGGCGGAGACTAGTCAGAGACATAGAAATTGTAGTTTTATCAATTTTTTTGCATAAATATGATTAATAATGTTGTGTTTGTGTGTGTATATATATATACACACACACACACCCTTATACACTGTCGGAATACTCCTTTTAACAGTAAGCAAGACATAGATTTATACGTAAATATCAAAGATGTAAAACTGCATAATAGAACTTCTTGAATGTGTTTGATATATTGCTTCAAAGGAAACAGGAGGAAAAACCGTCTTAGCAATAATCCATACTTCACCATGTACTTATACATGAAGGGTAAGAGTTGGTTACTGCTAAGTGGATTAAAAAACCTCCCACTAACAGTCCACGTACATCATGACCTATTTACATGCGATTCTAGCTAATAATAATAATAATAATAACAACTGAATTAACTAACAAGTTTATTTATCTACATTCTCCCCCTTAAACTTGTTCCTTTCTTTCACGCATTGCACTCCAATCTTTGATCTTAGTTCTGAGAACCTTTGTCTTCCAAGTGGCTTCGTCAGTATGTCTGCAAGCTGTTCTCCCGTGCTGACATGCTCAAGTGCAATTTCTCCCCTTTCAACGCATTCCCGTATGAAGTGAAATCTTGTATCTATATGCTTACTGCGTTCATGATACACTGGATTGTTTGCCAAAACTATCGCTGATTTGTTGTCAATTTTCAGCAGTGGCTTTCCCTCCACTTTTTCATTCAAACTATGCAGTAACTTCATGAGCCAAATTCCCTGACACGCTCCTCCAGTAGCTGCAATGTATTCAGCTTCGCAAGAGGATATTGCTACTATTTTCTGCTTATGTGATACCCATGTTATAGGACACTCTCCTAGGAAGAATAGAATTCCAGTAGTACTCTTCCTATCATCCATGTCACCTGCCAAATCACTATCGCAAAAACCAACCAGCCTGCTACTTTCTTTCCCACTTCTGAAAACGCAGCCCATTTCACTAGTCCCCTTTATGTATCTCAGGATTTGCTTCACTGTATTCATATGAGTTTGAGTTGGGGCTTCCATATATCTACTCACTATGCCTACAGAGTAAGCTAGATCAGGGCGAGTATTTACCAAGTACCTCAAGCTTCCTACCACACTTCTGTATAGCGTGGCATCTACTGGAATTCCTTCATCATATTTGCTTAGTTTGCTTCTTGGCTCCATGGGTGTGCTGCAAGGATTGCATTCTCCCATTCCCATGAGTTCTAGAATTCGTTTTGCATAGCTTGTTTGACTCAGGCTTGTGACATCCTCTTCTTGTTTAACTTCCAACCCCAAGTAGTAGCTGAGCAAACCTAGATCACTCATCTCAAAGAACTCCATCATTTTCTTCTTGAATCCCTTAATTAAAACATGATTTGAACCTGTAAGAAACATATCATCAACATATACACCAACAATGATTATCCCTATACCTGTGCCTTTCAAGCAGACTGCATGCTCATATGTGCATTTCTTGAAACCCAAAGACTTGAGACATTTGTCAAGCTTTTCATTCCAAGCTCTAGGTGCCTGTTTTAATCCATACAGAGCTTTATGTAACCTTAGAACCTTTTCTGGATATTCTTTGTTTACAAAACCTTCTGGCTGCTCAACATAAACTTCCTCTTTTAATTCTCCATTTAGGAAAGCTGTTTTTACATCCATGTGATGTACCAGCCATCCTCTCTGTACAGATAAAGCTAGTAAGGTCCTGACTGATTCCATTCTTGCAACGGGTGCAAATACTTCCATGTAATCAATCCCATACTTTTGACAATACCCCTTTGCAACAAGTCTAGCTTTATATTTTGTGATGTTACCATCTGGATCCTGTTTGACTTTGAATATCCATTTCAGTCCAATCGCCCTGTGATTCATTGGAAGATCTGCAAGTTTCCATGTCCCATTTTTCTGGATTGAATCTAGTTCCTGGATCATGGCATCTCTCCATTCCTTCTTTGTTGCAGCTTCACCATAGTTTTCAGGCTCTTCTATAGAAAGAAAACACAAACTGACCTCTTTTGTGATCTCCCTAGTAGCATCATATATTTCCTGTAAAGATCTGTATCGTGCAGGTTCTTCACTTGAGCTAGAGTTGGTATGTGACACTGGTGAGTCCAGGATGGCATCACTGGATTCATAACTCTCATTTCTCCCATTTTCTTCTCTGTTATCATTGTCATCCACCTCCCTTCTTTGTACTGATTCTGAATCACTTAAGCAGGTTGCATAAGTGTTTCTCCCTGACTGCTCTAATCTGGAATCCCAATGCCACTTCTTGTCTTCTTCAAACTTTACGTCCCTGCTGATTATTATCTTTTCTTGCACTGGATCTAATAGCCTATAGGCTTTAGATCCCTCTTCATATCCCAACAATATGCCTTTTGTGCTTCTATCTTCCAACTTTTGCAGATGAGGCTTAGTTACTTTTATATGAGCAACACAACCAAACACACGAAAATGATTCACATTAGGGACTTTCCTGTGCCAGACTTGGTAGGGTGTCATCCCATTCACACTCCTTGTCATGCATCTATTTAAAATGTAAACTGCTGTACTTGCTGCCTCGCCCCAATACTTGTCAGGTAACCCCATACTCTTCATCATGCTTCTTACCATCTCCATAATGGTTTGGTTCCTCCTTTCCACTACTCCATTTTGCTGAGGCGAGTAGGGTGCTGTCAGTTGTCTGTGTATTCCTTCTTGCTCACAATATGCCTTGAATTCAAGTGGCATGAATTCACCTCCCCTGTCTGTCCTAAGGCATTTGAGTTTCAATCCCTCTTCCTTTTCCAGTTTCTGTTTTAGTTTCTTGAAACTTTCAAATGCCTCTCCTTTCTGTTTTAGTAAAGTTATCCACATAAAACGTGAATGATCATCTACCAAAAGAAGGAAATAGTTCTTACCTCCAGGAGTTGATGGCTTGATTGGACCACATAAGTCACCATAAACCAGTTCCAGTTTTCCTTGTACTATGTAAGTTGTCTCCTGAGGAAATGAAATTATGTGTTGTTTCCCTATCATACAACCTTCACATGTGTGATTTACTTGAGTAATTCTCAGCATTCCTTCCACCATAGAGTTGCTTGACATCTTGTTTAAAGCTAGAAAGTTTAGGTGCCCAAATCTGGCATGCCAAAGTAGGTCTGTGCTTGTAATCTTACTCAGTAAGCATATTTTCTCAACTACTTTGAGGCACACCATAAACAGTTTATTCTCCTTTCTGTCTACCTTGAAAATGAGCCTATTGTCTCTGTTGAACACATTCAAAATCCCCCCTTCCAGTATGACTTTCCCTCCTGATTGATCCATCTATCCAAGACTTATGATGTTGCTCTTGAGTTTGGGGATATAATAGACATTGGGTAGAGATAGATGTTCTCCTGTTTTGCTCTGAAACACAACAGTACCAAGTCCTTTTATATCCATGACGTGCACTTTGTCGTGAGGTGCACTCAAAATAAATACAATACAACGAATATACGTAGTATAACGAAGTAAGGTTCGTATCCACATGGAAAGGAATATTTATCTTTTATGTAACTAGTAACAAGGGGGGTTTTGTTGGATGATTTAATTTAATTTAAAACTAAGATGAACAACCTATATGAGTTTAATTAATAGAGATGATGACTTGGTTTTGCTTTCATCCACTTAATGAAATGTTCGTCGATCCCGGTTATATCTTTAACTATCTTCCTCTCGAATACTCAATCGAGGAGTATATCCAGTTCATCGAGGGTAGTTATTAATAACAAGATGCGTTCATTAATAAAACTTACTATCGAGTCAATATAGAACAAGCGCCGTATATTAACTTGATAGTAGCAATAAACTTAAGATGAAAATGATTGAGATTGATAACCTCAATACAAGCGGTTTATTGGTTTAATCAATATAATTAATTCCCCTTGGCATATTAACCATGAGATGCATGCATTAATATTCCAAGTTTACTACCGTTGAAAGAACCGGATTAATAACAAGCGTATTAACCGATTGATTCTAGTAATAATTAATATGAGAAACAAAACTAGTTGATACTTTAAGTAATGTTTAAAATATTAACATGAAATATGAATAGGAATTAATTAATACTCAAGGAAGAATATTAAAGAATATGAATCCTACTATGATTAACATCAAGATGTTAACTAATTGTCATCTTAGTAACACTCCCCGATATTAACATAGAGGAAGAAATAACTATTACTATAACCAATGTCAAGATGTTAACTAATTGTCATCTTAGTAACATTCCCCAACTTTGATATAGCAATAGTATTTTAAAGGAATAATTAATATTCAAGGAAGAAGATTAAAGAAAATAACTCACAACTTACAAATTCATTAAGCTTCAAAGTAGCAAAACCAAGATGGAAGAGTTTAGCTCCTCATTTGGAGACTAAACATGATGAAAAATATAAAGAAAGAACTATTCTATACTGAGTTTAGATGTATGGAAGAAGGGATATCAAATGGAAAGGAAAAGAGGTGTATTTATAGGTGTTTGGAGGTAGCAGGGTCATTTACCCGACCGGGTTTTTCAGAAACCCGATCGGGTTTCTTGAGTAATTGCCCGGAATGTTCATTAGTCACATCTACCCGATCGGGTTTTTTAATTTACCCGATCAGGTA